GCATGCAAGGCAAGCGCTCTACCACTGAGCTAACTTCCCAGCCCCAAGATGTTAGTTTTTTTTGAAAGCATGAATTATATTGCTGCAGTCTGAATAGAATCAGAGTTACATATTATATTTATGGAAAGAAAAGGCCAGATCCTAAATCTCTTATGATCAGTCTCTGTGTGGTTTAAGCCACTGGGATGAGGTAATGTAAAAAAGATTTTTGGGAAAAGAATAAAAATAGCCTTCTGAATTTGAGTTCCTGAGGCCGAATAATATAATAAATACAATTCTAGTTTCAATCGCAGTGTTCCTTCAGTTTAAAATACCTAGAAGAATGTTCAGTTACATAGTATATTATTGTGTTAGAGAAAACTTCACACTTTCAGTTTGGGGATGCACTATAGTGCTTAGTTTCAGATAAATGTATAAATGTCATTTCTTGCTAGTACTATTGATATCTTTATTATATTGCATTATTATTGTTTATATTCCTACTAATTTAAAGTTTTTCTTTGTGTGTTGTGTGTGTGTGTGTGTGTGTGTATGTGTGTGCATATGTATGTGTGTATGTGGGCATGAACTCAGGCCGTGGGCACTGTCCCTGAGCTTTTTTTACTCTAGGCTAGTACTCTACCACTCCTTTACTATTTTTTTTTTTTTGGTAGTTAATTGGAGATAAGAATCATGGAATGTCCTGCCTGGACTGACTTTGAACTATGATACTCAGATCTCAGCTTCCTGAATAGCTAAGGTCTCAGGTATGAGCCACTGGTGCCTGGCTAAAGTGTATTTAAAATACATCATATATCCAAAGACAGGATGATGGACTAGCCTATACTAAAAGATGTCAGAATGACTACTGAAGTACTAACAATCAAGGTAGACATGGGAATAAAAAGAAATTTTCACCTGCAAATAAGAAAAGAATTCCTATTGGGTGTGCTCTGATTTTTGATATTGAGAATGGGAAGAAAATACTTAACAAGCAATCTTGAGAAACACATAGTGAACAGTTTTTCATTTTCTACTGATACAAGTTGTCTTTGTATCAGCCAAAAACAATGCCAGTGAAATGAACTGATGGATGACATAGTAATATCTCATTTGTTGGAACTGGGTCCTCACTACTCAGTGGTCTAATGTTTCATGAAATCTTTATTACATTTAATACCTGGTCTTGCAAGCAGGATAAAAAGGGGGTATGGAATTTTGTTTTACATGAAATGGAGAAATAAGAATGGAAAAAAATTTAGTGATTTTTTTTAACATACATTAGTTGTTCAAGAAAGGAGCCATTCACTATGACATTTCCATACATGCATACAATGTTTTCCAGTCAAATCCATCTCTCTTTTTTTTTTTTTTTGTGGGTCTGGTTGTGGGG